TCGGGGTCTACTCTCTGTTGACAGTAATTGTTTCGGACGGATGTCGGGCGGAGATCGAGAGTAGACCCCCCTCAATCCATAGGAGGGGTTCAAACCAGTTCGGAAACTCAAACAGAAATGATTTCGAAATGACTGATTCGATTATTTTGTCTTTCATTTGATACTTTGCCAAATCTAAGGCATTCTACATGTATGCACATGTACTGGTATTCTATACAATGCGTAGGAAATGTGTATATAGTTTAAAAAAATATTATATTTTATGTAATACATTGCCTAAAGAAACCCGGTGTTGTATAGAATGACTAGGTATTCTATACAATCCCTGACTTATACCTACACATTGTAGTTAACACATTATACACATACATATATATGTATTAAGTATGATAATTGATCCGCATTTGATCGTAACTTACCTTGTTGACAACAACACGACATAGCTCTTTAAAAGGTCCACCGTAACATTGCGCCCGTCACCTTTGATATTTTGCGGTTGGTCTCTAAATCAGAAATTACATTTTAAGACCCGACCGGTGAAGACCGGAGAAAATATGACATTGTTTATGAAGCTTGTGTTCAAATGTTCAAAGCATTCAAATGGCTTTTCTATGGAAACCTTAGACTATTTATTTTTTTCCATCCTTTAGGATGGAAACCAAAGGACATGTTATGTTGACATATATAAATCAGACGTTATATGTATACGATGCATTTCGACATTGAAAACATAGACATGTTATTGTCTTTATTTAACTATTGCGTGCTGTCCATAGATTTAGCATGGTGCCGTCGTAAGCCAAAAGAGATAGTATTACAAAACACGGGAATCGAAAATACGTAACGTCATCTTAAATGTCAACTGTGTTCATTTCGCGGTACATGAGGTCTTAGACTATGGAATTTTTTTCCATCCTCTAAGTTTAGAAGTTACAATCTAATGTATTATCTATGGTACAATCCATAGTTAGGCTCATTGGTGGCCTATGGCCCCAGTCGTTTGACTTCTTTTATTTTTTTCCACCCTCTAAGCGTTTGACCCTTTGGTTTCTTTTCTTAGTCGTCGGGTGACAGATAACAATGCTGTCATTTATATATAGTCTAAGCAAAATATGTGCTAAGAAGTTTCTTTTTGGTGGCAGGTTCTTTTTTTTTTAGCTTATTGGTGGTGCCCTTGAATTAGACGCTTTAGAGTGGTTATTTATTCCATTCTATAAGGGTTACATACGGCTTTTAGCTTTTGCATCGCTGCTTAAAATCGCGCGTGTGTAAAGGTAGTCGATTAGCG